TGCCCCACCCCCCATCTTCCCCGCAAGTCTCCCGCGCCCAGTCTCCCGCCCTGCCCCCCATCTGTCTCCCAGCAGTCAGGCTTCTCTCACCCAGCCTGGACACCCTCTGCCCCTCCCGGTCCCCTCGGGGCCCGGCCCTTGTCCCCTGTCCGCGGGCCGGTTTCCAGACCCTGCGAGCCCCTGGTGTCAACCCTGGGCACCTGAGGTCCCGAAGGGGGCAGGTTCCGAACCGGATCCGCGAGGTGGGCTTGGGCGGGCGCCTGCCGTGCTGATAGCAAGGGGTTGGGCCGATTATTATTATTATTATTATTATTATTATTATTATTATTATTATTATTACTACTACTACCATCATTATCGTTGTTCTGATGGTGACCACCGGCCTGGCCGCATTCTCGTCGGAGCTTCTGGGCCTTCTCCCCTCCCACGCCTGCCTCGACCCTCTCTCCGTTCCCACCCTTCCGCACAGAGGCCCCCTCTCTGGGCGACGCGCGCTCCCGGGCCCTGTGGGTGCCGCCGCGCCCACCCTTGGGCACTGAGCAGCCAGCACCAGACCAGCAGCTGGCAGATCTCAGCCGACCCCAGCTCCACAAATTCTTTTTCGAACAGAAGAATCCCCGGGAGGAAACTGCCGAATTTTCAATTAGAAAGGCAAAGCAAAGGCCGTGATTGAGTGAGCACAGAAACAATCATAGCAGCTCCCGGGAGAGGAAAGGAAAAGAAAAAGAGGAGGAAAAGAAGAGAGGAGAGAAGAAGAGGAAGAAAGAAGACAGAAAAGGACGCGGAAACCAAAGGTCTGTCCGTCCCGTGCAGACAGAATTGGCCTAGCACGGCCCTGGAGAGAGATGGAGAGTCCTGGTGACAATATCTCTGGTCACCTTTTCTCATTTGCCCTCTTGTCTCCAGAGGATGAGCACAGAGCATCCTTCCCTTGGAGCAGGAAGCATGTGCTCATTTGGGGTGCGGTTTGAGCAGCCATAGCTCCCATATTAAGTCAACAAAGTGGAAGGTGGCGACACCTCTGCTGGCCTTCGCCGTTGTTCCTGGTGAAGTACAGCCCTCGGGAACAGATCACCTTGGGGCAAGGCTGCTCAGCTCTGCCTCCCTCCAGGTCAGTGGAGGGTTGGTGTCCCCGCAGTGTGGTCCCTGTGAGCTGGGGCCCCTCCCGCTGTTTTCACTTAATTCAATTTTCCTGTGTTACTGTGGAGCCTCCTAGCACATAGCCTTCCAAAGTTGCTCAGTGTCTTGTGCACAGCTCTGAGAAGCCATTTCTGTCCCAAGTTGCAAGTGGGACTGAATGCGCCTCTACTTGTTCGCCTCCTGCAGCATCAAGTCTAGAAAAGAAGAGGGAACATGCTTCTTTGGCCACTTGCCATAACCAGGATGACCATACAGCATACTGGCCACAGTGGCTCCACCTTACCAAAATGGTCAGTTGGTTCATCTACAAATCTGTTCAATTAGTTGCTTCCCACTATGTTCAATTCACTGCTACAGTATCAGCTGACATTTGTTTTGACCGGTGCCCAAGTCTCTGTTCGCGGAGAAAGTCTGTAACCCTGATATAACAGGGCGGCCTTGAGTCCTGGGGAGGCTCCAAAACCAGCCTCAGGAATCAGACTCCACAAGGCCTGAGAAACAATGCGGCTTTTCACTCTTTACTGCAGGTTTCCCTTAGAGAGACACAGGGATTTGATCCACAGCATTGCCGAGGACTCCCTGAAACTCCTTTTTCAGTGAGGCTCCCTTTTCTTAAAGATTTCTCATCCTGAGCGTCTCTCCCCACACACAGGCCTCTCACTGACCCAGCACCTACCCCTGTCTGCTTCTCTGTCCCTGGGCCTTAGAGCTCAGACACTGGACCCTGACAAGGGGTCCCCCAATCCCCCATTGAGCCCCAAGAGACTGTCGGCTCTTGCTGCTTCTCTCAAGAAAATCAGCCTTCCCTAAAGTTCTGTTGAATAAAAGTCTCCCCCTCTGCATCCCCGGTTCATGAGCGAAAGCAATTTAACAGATGAATGTCAGCTCATAGACGTAGAAGGAATGAGAGTATTAGGAAATCCCTGTTCTGCAACCCTCCATGAAATAATTGAGTCAGGCAGTGTGCACCAATGGGTACTAAACCCCTAGGTGGAAATGTGCAGGCCAATTGGCTAATCACACATGCGAGTTGGAAAAGGATAAAGGTTTTCCACTTTCCGTGGAAACATCTGGCAGTCAGCACCTTAATGAGGAATCAAACTTAGCGTCACTAATACTGGCTCAACTTGGCATTATGTTATGCAAGATAAACCACACAACATCACCCGAGGTGTGTTCTTGCCAAGAACGCTTCACTGGAATCAATCGCCAAGACTCTAGACTTCACTTGCAGCTTACAGGGAACCAAAGGGAGAAAGCAACAGGTTTAACGACACCATGGAAACTACCAGACTGGTCCAGACTGTAGGACGTTCTACAGTCTGAGCTTTTCAAGAAAGCACATGTCATGAGAGAGGGTGGGTGACAGTTCTAGTATAAAAACAGCAAGAAAGAAGAAACATAACAATAATCATGAACTCTGATTCACTCCTGGCTGAAGAAACCAACACAAAAGACATTTTGGAGGAAATTTCAAATTGGACAGGATATTGAATCATATTATAGAATTATTAAGGTTATTAGGTGTTTATATAGGCAAATGGCTTTATTTTTAGGAGATGCCTGCTTGAAATATTTAGGGATGAAATGCCTCGATGTCTAAAACTGATTTTTAAATGATTCAGCACCAACCATATGTACGCTTCCCTGATGTTACACAATGTTAGCAATTATTGGTTATAGATGATGCATTGTACTATGTTTCTCTTCTCTATATGTTTAAACATTTTCATAATAAAAATTTGGAGAAAAATAAAATGACAGGTGCTAAACAACTAAAAAATTTCTCTACCTCTGTGCTCAAACTTCAAATCAAATCTAGGCTTATGGGAATAAAATCGAAAGCTATGATGAGTTCCATCTTGTATACTTTTGAAAATCACCTGGCCTCAACCTTGAATATGACTTGAACAAATATATGACATATTATAATACATCTGTAATATGATATTACATATTACTTTTAAAAAAGGAAGTACATTCACTTTCCCAGAAAATTAGTGCCAGCAGCCTGGTGAGCAGGTACAGAATGGTTAAAGGACATCCAGTTTAAGACTCGAGCCCAAAGTGACACATTTCCCCAGCACAGTCAGTGTATCGCAGGACAGAGTGTGCCCTTGGAAGAGCTGAGTAAATGCGCTTCCTTCCTCCCACTGCCCACCCTCCCAGCCTCTGCTTCCCCCCAGTCCCCGGGTTGTGGTTCATCTGCACCACTTGTGTTCTATTCTTGTTTAGCTCTTGTCACAGGCTGCGGCAGACAGTCGAGATCTGATTGAATGTGCACGCCGTATTTTGGTTGTCAGAGGCCTCTCCTTGAGCATGCACTCGGGAAAACGTGTGTTGGTCAGAGTTCATGCACTGAACGAGCTGCAGACCGTCAATTCAAGAGATGCAGCAGCCAGGCCCCTGGAGTTCTGGTGGTCCCCAGAAGAGGGGTTCCCCCAGCAGGAATGGGGTCCAGCTGATGTGTGTGATGGTTAATTTTACGTGTCAACTTGCCTGGGCCACGGGTATCCGGATATGCAGTCAAACATTATTCTGAGTGTGTCTGTGAGGGTGTTTTGGGGGTGACTGAGTTCAGGAGAACCACCCTCACCAGTGTAGGTGGGTCTTGTCCAATCAGTTGAAGGCCTGAATAGACCACATTTGAAGACAAGAGGATTTTCCTGCTGACTGTTTTCAGACTGGGGCTCTTCTTGGTTCTCCAGCAGCTTGATGGCCTTTGGACTCAAACTGGGACACCCTATAGATTTTGGACTCATCAGCTTC